CTGGTTACCCCATTCTTTTCTTTGCTGTTCAACCTATCACTGTCAACATCAGGTCCCTTTCAAATGATCAAGATATGCTGGAAAGAAAAAAAACATTAATAGAAGAAAGTAAAATTTCTTTCTCAGTGATGCTTACCCTGAGCACCTATTTAACACTGCAGCCATTCCCACACCCCCGCACCTAATGCTACAATCCTGGTCTCCAACTCCTTCCTCCACTTTTTCTTATTTTCCACATATACTGTAGCACTAGGACCTTATAACAATCCTGCATGATAGGTATTTTAATCCCATTTTCTAGGTCAGGAAATCGAGCTGAGTCTAAGTCATCTGTACAAGTGAACACAGGGATGTAGGTGGTGGAGCTGAGCCTTCATTTATTCCCCAAGTGCCTTTGGAAACTGGTTCTTTTCAATTGTTTGGGTGGATCTCCAGAAAGATGACACTTCTTGAATGTTACAAAACCTGCTTTAGCTCGATCTTTCTAATTAACCAAACCAAGAAATTTCTCTAATATTTTCAATTCGAAGTCTGCGCTGCCAACATAAAAGCAAGAAAGGAAAGAAGAATTGAAGGATTCAAAAAAAGAAACATGGTCTGTTTTGAGGTTCAGAGAAGCTCATGATGTTCAGGCATAGTTTACTGGTTTTAAAAAAACATATGTAAATTCTGCTAAATGTGAGCTGACACATGGAGATTGGGAGAAATTTTTATTTAGTTCATGATTCTGTTTTAAAAAATTTTTGTGATGCTTGCAACTCTGTGAATATGTAAAAAAACACTGAATTGCACCCTTTAAGTGGGTGGTCTGTATGTGAATTATAACTCAATAAAGGGCCTCCCCTTTATTGAGCACAGCAATGTGAAGCTGTCCGCAGCCTCTGCAGCACGAGTTCGATCCTGGACGGCCGGCGAGATTCCCACATGGCAGGGCAGAACTCTCCTGCCTTGCCCACTGCTCCCCTCAGCAGTGTATTTCAGTCAGACTGCCTGTTCTGTTCCCCACTCTGTCTCTGGTGAATCCTCTCACCCTTCTGCACATCTGGCCTGTACCCCAGTTCTTGTATACATGGATAAATAAATCTTTAAAAAAATAACTCAATAAAGATGTTATTAAAAATAATAATATTTGGGTTTGATTTAGATCATGGGCCATTAGATTGTTTCATTTCATGGTTTATGGTTCAGCTTGGGTTGAGTTATGAAAACTAACAGAAAAAGTAAACAGAGGAAAAAAAAGTAGGAACCATTTCAATATTTGACCCAGAGAAATTATAATAGGCTGAATACTTTGATGATATAACCAGATATAGCCACAATGGCCTTCTCCTAAAAGTTAGGAGTTACTGCTAAAATTCATATGGAACCACAAAAAACCTTAAATAGCTAAAGTTCTCTTGAATAAAAAAGAGAATGGGACTATCATACTCCCAGACTTCAACTATACTACAAAGCTATAATAATTATTTTTTTGTTTTTTTCTTAATTTTTTAATTTTTTACATCATTGTTCATTTTTAAACAATATTTGCTCCCCCCACCACCTCAAGTGTAGTCCCCATAGTTTCCTTCACCAATGCACCCGTCCACCATCACCTCGGTCCCTTGTGCTCCTCCCTCCCTCCCTCCCTCTGCTCCCTCTCCCTCCTCCTCCCCTGCAGGATGTCTCTGATTTATAATTGTCCATTTTTGCTTTGTTGTGTTCTATACTGTTATTTTTTTACACTGATGTCTTATTTGGTTCCCCTATATTCCTGCTATAAGTGAAACCATCCGATATTTTTCTTTTCCTTCTGGCTTATTTCACTGAGCATAATTCCTTCTAGCTCCATCCACGTTGCCGTGAATGGCATGAGTTTATCTTTTTTGATTGCTGAATAATATCCCATTGTGTATATCTGCCACATCTTCTTGATCCAGTCATCTATCTTTGGGCATTTGGGTTGTTTCCAGGTTTTACCTATTATAAATAGTGCTGCAATAAACATAGGAGTACAGGTGTTCTCTTAAATCAGTGTTTTTGTGTCCTTTGTGTAGATCCCTAAAAGTGGAATTGCTGGGTCGTATGGTAGCTCCATTTTTAGTAGACAGAGGAATTTCCAGACAGCTTTCCATAGTGGTAGGACCTGTTTGCACTCCCACCACCAATGTAGGAGAGTTACTTTTTCATCACATCCTTGCCAACATTTATTGTTGCTTGTTTTTTTGATATGTGCCATTCTTACTGGTGTAAAGTGGTAAAAGTCATAATAATTAAAACAGTATAGTACTGGAACAAAAACAGACAACACAGAAAAATGGAACTGAATAGAAAGTCCAGAAATAAAGCCACACATATATGGAAAACTCATCTTTGACAAAGGAGCAAAGAATATGCAATGGAACAAGGACAGTTTGTTCAATAAATGGTGCTGGGAAAACTGGTTGACTACCTCACACCATGCACGAAAATCAACTCAAAATGGATAAAAGATCTGGACATAAGACCTGAAGCCATAAAATATATAGAAGAAAATACAGATGAAAGAGTACATGACATATATCTCAGTAACTCATCCCCCAAAGCAAAGAAAGTGAAGGTAAAGATAAACAACGGGGATTACATCAAACTAAAAAGCTTCTGTACAGCAAAAGAGACATTAGCCGAAACAAAGAGAGACCCTACTGACTGGGAAAAATTTTTTTCACTCTATACAACTGATAAGGGACTGATCACAAAGATCTACAAAGAACTCACACAACTCATCAAAAACAAAGCAAATAATCCAGTCAACGGGGGCGGGGAAAGGAGGGTTTGGGGTCAAAATAAGGGGGTTGCAATTGTATGGGGAATATAAAAATTAAAAAAAAAAAAATGGAAAAAAAAAAAGGGCAGAAGATCTAAAAAGACACTTCTCCAAAGAGGAAATGCAAACAGCCAACAGGCATATGAAAAAATGTTCAACATTCCTTATAATCAGGGAAATGCAAATCAAAACCACAATGAGATACCACCTTACACCAATAATAATGGTACATATCAATAAAACTAGCAACAACAAAAGTCAGCGAGGATGTGGTGAAAAAGGAACTCTCGGGCCTCCCCGGTGGCGCAGCGGTTGAGCGCTGGGTTGCGAAGCTGCCAGCAGCCTCTGCAGCGCCGGTTCGATCCCTGGCTGCTCCCCGGCCACCGGAGGAGGGTCCCACATGGCGCGCAGACCTCTCCTGCCGCCAGCTGCTCCCCTTAGCAGTGTACTTCGGTCCTTCTGCCTGCTCTGCTCCCCGCTCTGGCTCTGGTGAATTCTCTCACCCTCCCGCGCTTCTGACTGTACCCAGTGCATGTATAAACAAAAACAAACAAATGAATAAATAAATAAATAAAACATGCCTCTATTAAAAAGAAAAAAAAAAAGTTTTAAAAAAAAAAAAAAGAAAAAAAAAAGAAAAAGGAACTCTCCTACATTGCTGGTGGGAGTGCAAACTGGTCCCACCACTATGGAAAGCTGTCTGGAGGTTGCTCAGTCTACTAAAAATGGAGCTACCATATGACCCAGCAATTCCACTTCCAGGGATCTACCCAAAAGACACAAAAACAATGATTCAAAAGAATACCTGTACCCCTATATTTATTGCAGTACTATTTATAATAGATAAAACCTGGAAGCAACCCAAATGCCCAAAAATAGATGACTGGATCAAGAAGATGTGGTATATATTTGTGATGGAATACTATTCAACAATATAAAAAGATAAACTCATGCCATTTACAGCAACATGGATGGAGCTAGAAGGAATTATGCTCAGTGAAATAAGTCAGAAAGAAAAAGGAAAATATTGGATGGTTTCACTTATCGGTGGAATATAGGGGAACCAAATAAGACATTAGGAGAAAAAATAATAACAATACAAAATACAACAAAACAAAACAAAAATAAACAGGTAATTAAACCAGAGACATCCTGCAGGGGAAGAGGAGGGAGAGGGATCGGAGGGAGGGAGGAGGGAGCATAGGGGACTGTGGTGATGGTGCATGGGTGAAATGGTGAAGGAAATTCTGTGGGGATTACACCTGAGGAGGGGATTAAAAAAAAAAAGCAAACATTGTTTAAAAATGAACAATTAAGGGCCTCCCCGGTGGCGCAGCAGTTGAGCGCTGGGTTGCCAAGCTGCGCACAGCCTCTGCAGCACCGGTTCGATCCCCGGCTGCTCCCAGGCCACCAGAGGAGGGTCCCACATGGAGCACAGACCTCTCCTGCCGCCCGCTGCTCCCCTCAGCAGTGTACTTCGGTCCTTCTGCCTGCTCTGCTCCCCGCTCTGGCTCTGGTGAATTCTCTCACCCTCTTGCGCTTCTGACTGTACCCAGTGCTTGTATAAATAAATAAATAAATACATAAATCTTTAAAAAAAAAAAAAAGAACAATTAAAAAAAAAAAGAACAATGATGCAAATAAATAAATAAATAAATAAATAAATAAAGGTGACTTCCTGTCAACTGCAAAATTAAAAAATTTCAATAGGGCCTCCCCGGTGGCGCAGCGGTTGAGCGCTGGGTTGCGAAGCTGCCCGCAGCCTCTGCGGCGCCGGTTTGATCCCCGGCTGCTCCCCGGCCACCAGAGGAGGGTCCCACATGGCGCGCAGACCTCTCCTGCCGCCCGCTGCTCCCCTCAGCAGTGTACTTCGGTCCTTCTGCCTGCTCTGCTCCCTGCTCTGGCTCTGGTGAATTCTCTCACCCTCCTGCGCTTCTGACTGTACCCAGTGCATGTATAAACGAACAAGCAAGCAAGCAAGCAAGCAAGCAAGCAAGCAAATAAATAAATAAATAAATAAATAAATAAATAAGAAAAAAAAATTTCAATACACATGAGACAAGTGAGATTGAGGTTAAGTGACTTACTTACACTATCTCAGTAGGAGGCAGGAGTAGATCTAGAAAAAGAACTCAAATCTCCTAACTCCCCAAACCAAGCTATATTGTAGGTCCAAGTGAAAACAAGTTTTAGAGAAAGGAATCAACATACATACCTCATGAACCACGGAGCCCAGGAGAAAATCTAGTCTCTGGCACAATTCTCCGAGGTTGGATAAGCTGCTGGCCCTATGAGCGCTGTCTGGCTCTCTGGCTCCCCTCAGGAAGGTGTGGATCAAAGGTTCTCGGTATTTTGAGACCATATCTCCTACAGAAAAGGGGAAGAAATCAAAATCTTCTACAATAAATTTGCTTCTTGAAGAAGGAATAATGTATGATCATGGTATAGTAGGGTGTTTGATACTTTTCAAAGTACTTGCATAACCATTAAAAATCATGCTGTGGAAGGTTATTTAATATCAAGAAAAATATTCATGATGTATAGTTTTATGAAAAAGCAAGCAGAACCTGATTTACTTTAAAAATCTGCATGTGGAAATAAAAGACTTGAAGGAGCTATTCCCCATAACATTAATATAGTAGTTATGTATCTCCAGATAGTCAGGTTATGGAAATAGATAAAACAATTTCAAGATAAATAAATGGACACACAAATATATGAAAATGTTATCTATTACAAATATATACATCAATAAATTTTCACAAACGCAACACACCTGTATTAGCTTAGGTGACACAAACAGCAAGTGTGGCCATATGTTACACCCATCATCAGCCCTGTATTTTCCTACACTATCACTCTACCTGCTCAGATCAAACTGAATGAGCTATCCATGGTGTTTTGGGTCCTTGTGAAAGAGAGCTATGATCACTCACTCATTTCAGAGATATTAACAAATCTACTATGTGCTAATAAGCCCAATACAGATTCTTGGGATATACCAGTGAACAAAAGAGACAAAGAGTCCTGCCTTCATAGAGCTTCCATTCTAGTATAAATTTTGTAGTATGTCAGAAGAGTAAGAAATGCCATGGAGCCAGGGGTGGATTAAAGCAGGGGGAGAGAAATAAGTAAGGGAGAGGAGAAAGAAGTTTATTTTTTTTCTCTCCTCCCACTCCCCTCAAAGTCAGGAATACAAAATTCTTTCCATACGATATAATAATAAGATGAAGGAATAATTTCTCTACAATGCTCCCAGTTTCTAATATACTACATGTAGACAAACATTTTTTAAAAGGTGGCTAGGGCTGGCTTCCTGGAGATGGTGATGTTTAAGCAAAGATTTGAGGTGATGTGATATCTAGTGGAAGAGGGACCAGTCAGTGTAAAACCTTGTGGAGGAACATGCCTGCTGTGTTTAAGGAACATGAAAGAAACTCATGAGGAGGCTAAGGGGTCATGGCAGGGATGGGATGGTACTGCAGGTCTTGCAGAGCCTTCTAGGCTGCTGTCAGATTTTGAACTTTTTTTCTAAATAAAGTGAGAAGTTTTTGGAGGTTTTTGAGTAAAGGAGTATAAAAAGATCACTCTGGCTGTAGTGCTAAGAACACACTGTAGGGACAATGTGTGTGTCTAGTGAGGAGAGAGGGTACAAATTAGGAAGTGACTGCAGCAAGCTGCTTGGGAAAGGCTGGTGACTTAGTGAAAAAAGACTCCGCATGTATTTTGAAGATTGAGCCAACACGATTTCCTGATGACTCCAAGAATAACTTCAGGATTTTTGTTTTTGTGGTTAGAAGGATGAAGTTATTATCAACTGTGGTGGAATCTCTCCAAGTGCAGCAGGTTTGGGGTGGGAGGAAAGATCCGTGTTCAGTTGCAAAAACCAAGTACAAAACCCCACCTTTAGCCTTCCCCAGCCCCAGTGTTACATGATAACTGCAGCGACAACATGGTTTCTAATGGATTGATTGGCTGGTTGAAAGTTAACTATTTTTTTAAAGGTTTCTTTATTTATGCATACAAGAACTGGGGTATAGGCCAGAGGTTTGGGGTGGGGGAGGGAGGATTCAACAGAGACAGAATGGGGTGTAGAACAGACGGACTGACTGAAATACACTGCTGAGGGGAGCAGCGGCTGAGAAAGGAGAGGTCTGCTGCGCCATGTGGGTCACCTCCATGGTTGGGGATCGAAGTCGTGCTGCAGTAACTGCAGATTGCTTCATATCGCTGATGTCCAAACCCTTGCACCACCAGGGAGGCCCCAAAAGTTAACAATTTTAATTACCAAACTGAAACCTACATAGAAAAATCAACACCCTGGCCTGTCAGCCCTCACTCAAATGCTACTCCCGTTGTGAAACTTTTCTCCATGTCCTCAGTCTTAACTAGCTCCTTGAGAGTCCCACACTAACTTGTATTTAAATCACTTTGGCTTAAATCACATTTGTCACCAAGCCTTGATTCCCAAATGTCTTCAGCCTCCATCTGTTTCTCCACTAGGCTATCCATTTCTTGAGGGCAGAACTCTGTGGCATCTCTGTTCCCATCCGGTCTTAGTTGTATTTGCCTATACTAGGTACCCAACAAATGCTAATGTCCAATTAAATTCATCACTCTATTTGACGTTGTGATAGGCATCACACTAATGCTCTAGGAATACAAAATTGATAAAATATAACCTTTACCCTTTAAGAAGCCCAAGGTTTAGGGGAAGGGTATAAACAGATAAGTACCAACAATTATAGAACTGTGTGGTTAATGCCGTCATAGAGTCAAGCAGAGGTTGTTTATAGAGCATAATTTCACCGATCTCAGTCACTTGGAGGGGAGAGGAGGAAGAAGTTTGTTTGTTTGTTTTCTCTCCTCCCACCCCCCTCAAGGTCAGGAACACAAAGTTCTTTCCATACTATATAATAATAAGATGAAGGAATAATTTCTCTGCAATGCTCCCAGCTTCTAATATACTACATGCTGTCATCAAACTCACTCCCACCCAGTTATCATCAACATATATTGCAGAAAGTGAATCGATGGTGACTAAGGCACAGCCTGTTTCTGTTCATAGAAAAGAGAAGATTTTGTGCATACTTTTAGATCTGTATTGGCATTTTGTGTATCAGTCCTAGAGAGGGAGTCATACACACACTCACACACACACACACACTCTCACACATGGACATCTGCTTAAAGACTTTACTATAAATATCAATTAATATGGAATTGTTTAAATCACCATACATATTATGGAATACTATGCAGTCACTAAAAGGAACATGACAGAATTATATGCACTAATAGAGAAAAGTCTCCTCAAGACACTGCTGAGGGAAATAAACTATCATTTCATTTACGTATTTCCATCAAGAGGAAAAGATATTTTTCTACTACATTTGTTGCAGTACTTTACCTTTTTGGTTAGGAAGGGGCTAACTTGTTCTACAGTGTTAGATGGGGATCCACAGTTAAGAGAGCTGTGTTCTAGGTCTGGCCTGCTGATATCAGACTAGTAGTGTGACTCTGGGCAATTCATTTCACCTCTCTGGACCAAATGGAGATGAGCAAGTTAGACAACACAATCTTTCTGGCCCTTTCCAGTTATAAGAGTCTTCAAGTTGATGAATTACTTTTAGTTTAACCATCAAGGGAATGAAACTTAGAAGGCTGGGAAAGGAAGTAAAGGTACACATTCATGAGCCCTGGAGTGGGAGGTCATGGTAGTTAAAAGGAATGTAGGTCCCTTGTTGGGAAGAAGACACAGAGAAATGAAAGAAGTTTGGAAATCCATAAGGAGGGGAAATTACAGGTTGCAAGGGGTAACAGTAGATGACAAACAGATCTCCCTGGTGGTGCAAGGGGTTAAGCACTGCACTATGAAGCAGTCTGCAGCCTCTGCAACAAGAGTTCGATCCCTGGCCAGGGAGCAATCCACATGGCGAGGCAGACCTCTCCTAACTCACCCACTGCTCCCCTCAGCAGTGTATTTCAGCCGGTCTGCCTGCTCTGTTCCCCACTCTGTCTCTGGTGGATCCTCTCACCCCCCCCCGCCCCCCCACATCTCTGGCCTGTACCCCAGATCTTGCATGCATAAATAAATAAATCTTTAAAAAAAAAGAGTAGATGACAAACAGATTAATGTTTATAAATGTAGGGATGTAAAGTTAAAAAATGATAAAGGCATATTATATTATTTTATTAATTAATCAAATATTAATTATGTGCTATGTGTCAAGCACTGTGTCAGGCACTGGGACTTGAGTCATGAAACTAGAATTCCATTGTCAGATTCAAAGTTTAATGGAGGGAGGGAAAAAGGCTGACCAAGCAACCAAAATGGAGTGAGACAGACTCAAAGTGGTGAAAGAAAAAATACTTTTAAGGATAATGTCCTTATCTGATTCCTATTTCTATTAATAAAAGCTCCGATATTCTTATTCACCTAGACTGAAAAGGCTGGTGTTCTTTTTTTAACTTCTTGTTACCTTTCAGTCAATCACCTCATTTTTTTTTTTTTTTTTTTTTTTTTTTTTTTGTGGGACCCTCGCGGGTGGCCAGGGATTGAACTGGCGCTGCAGGGGCTGCGGGCAGCCTCGCAACCCAGCGCTCAACTGCTGCACCACCAGGGGAAGCCCTCAATCACTTTATTTATTATTATTCTATCTCCTTTTACTTCCATATAGGATTTGCAGCAACTTCTAATAATTAATATTGAAACCATGTATCTTTGAAATAAATATCTTTTTAAAGTTCTATAGTAGGGGAGGGAGTGCAGGCATCCACAATGAAGTACAGTTATTACAAATGAATCCAAAATTTAGTTTAGCAATTCCTGGTTGTTACCAAGAAAAGGAAACAGAAGATAAAGTTCTCATTCCTAAGAGCCAAGAGGAGCCAGCGCAAGGGTCAGTGTCCTGTCCCTGTCAGCTGACTATAGGTCCACTTACTACCTTGTTTTCCAGGTATTAGACTGAAAGGACGGTCACACTCACTGCACCCACTCCGCATTTCTCCGGGTGCCTTGCCACCATGTTCTCTGCAACTGATGGTTCCAAGACCTCACACACAGCACCAAGATTTGTCACACTCTTGCTCAAACCTGGTCTTCTTGGGGAATTTCTACTTTCCCCATTTCCTTGGGGCGCTGCCAGCTTCTGACTAATCCTCCCCCTCCTAGCTTTACCAAACTTAGGGCTGGTTTTTCAAAACTATACTGGACTCCAGTCCAGATTGGAGACCCACCCTCACCAGGTTTTTGAAAAACAAAATGAATGCATACAGTCACAGAATAGAGTATTCAGGCTGCAATGTACCTAGGTGAATTATTTTAAAATCCTACATAAAATGCTCTAAATCTGAGTTTTAGGGAT